TTTTTCACTGTTACAAACAAGGCTGCAACATTTGTCTACAAACCTCTAGATACACACGTAGGAAGCTTTCGGTATTTCCTACTAGTGAAACTGCTCAGTTGGAAGGTATGTGCATCTTCATCTTTAATAAATACTACCCACATTTGAAAAGCCCGACAACGTCAAGGACTGGCCAGAGTCCCATGTGCGATGGGTGTGGAATGGCAGCTCACTGTAGCAGGTGCGGGGACTCAGTTGGGGGCTTGGAGAGGCACTTAGTTATAGGAAGAATGTTTCATAAATGGTATCTGATATATTCAAGATCAGTGCAGGAAAAAACACATTGCTTAGAAATAATTATTCATAGATCTAAAGTCAACAAGTCTTTTTCTTCTCATGTAAAAATACATAATTTTTTCCAGAGGGAGGGGAACAACTTAAAATAAATTAGAAAATACCTTCATATTAATCATTCTTCTCATATACTTCAAATTTGAGCTTAATGTCTTTCTCCTCCTGGACATCAGAGAGAACACCTGGGTATTCTGGCAGAAGTTTATATTTCTCCAAATCAATTTCTCGGAAAAAAAAAGTGTCATTTTCAAAGTCCTACATGTTCCTTGTCACAAATAGTTTAAGATGGTTTGGGTGATTCATGGCTTCCTTATAAACAAAACTGCCACCAACTATCCAAATCATCTCTACTTTATTTGCTAATTCTGGTTGTTCAGTAAGTTTGAAGATATCATCCAGACTTCTGGCAAGAGAATGAGCTCCTTGTGGAGGTTCCTTGAGTTCTCTGCTGAGAACTAAATTAATTCTATCCTTTAAAGGTCGATTCTTCTCAGGAATGGAGAACCGGATCTTCCTATACATAACACCAGATTCTGTTTACCTTCTAGTGAAGAGTTTGTGTCATTCTCTGGAAATACCTAAATTCATTCCTGAGCGGCGGCCAGGGCAGGTGCCCGTTCTTGCCAATGTCCATGATCTGGGGCACAGCGACGATGCAGTTTAGCAAACGAACCATGACAGCAGCGGTGAGCACCTCCGAGCCCGCTCGCTACACAAGAACGCGCGGAAAAGACTGGCTGGAAGGTTTTTACTTTGAACCTGGAGGATGAGCAATGACATCCCTCTCTCCACCTCAAAGCTCGTCCTGAGCGTTCACCTCCTGGGAGCAGGGCAGCGCAGCAGCGCCACGTGGTGGTCCATGTACTTCCTTTTGCAGATCACTCACAGCCCTGAGGTCCTCCTCTCCTTTCTATGCACCTGGCATTTCCTTCACTGGAGACCAACCTGCGTCAAGTTTCCTGTAAAGCAAAAGAAGCGCCCAGGGCTTCCTCATGGAGTCCCTGCACAAAGTGGCCGTGTGGGTTGCGATGGACACTGCATGGGCACACCAACTGAGTCGCCACTCACCAAGGTTGACCTGGCAGCTGCCACTGCTGAGGGCCCAGCCGATCTAAGCAGCTGTTTTTTTGGACGGAGAAATAAAACAGGAAATGGTAATTAAGAATAAAATAACATTATGATAGAAAAATATGCCACTAAAGATATAGTAGAAGTTTAAATAATTTTGAGACTATGAATAAGATTATGTCAATGGGGAGAACTTATTACAAGTAGAGAAAGCTGGAGTATTGATCCTCCACTCCTTGGTTGTCAGCTCCCGGTCCTGTGTGTGGGTGGAACGTACTCCAGTTGCTCTATAGCAAAAGATGGTGGGGGGAGGAATGGTGTCATCTCCACCTTTGGCGAGATCCATGTCACCGTGTTCAGGGGAAGGGCCATGAACTCCCCATGCAGAGAGGACGCTGTGGCTATGAAGGTGCCTGTGGGAGAGGTGAGGACCCGCTCCGTCTACACTGATGGCCAAGAGCCTGCAGACGGCGGGGAAGGCTTCCCCTCAGCTGTGTCCTATCAGGTTTTTCCAAGAGTCAAGGAGTAGACCTGCGTATTGCCTCTGCTGATGTGAGCTGCACACACATCTAGAAGTGAGGTCACCCCTGCTGGGGGTCCTGGGGCTGCTGGTTGTTCTGGGTGCTCAGAGGGAAGATGGGGAGGGGGCTTTGTGTAAAACAGTAACCATACTCTATAAATTATTTTTTCCTTAACCTTTGTGTCATAAAATAAAATGTAGGACTCCAGAAGGAAAAAGAAACGGTCTAAAATTTGTGTCCTTGAATAAAAAGTGAACACCCATTAACCACCAGGGATAGACGTTTGTGGAGCAAACCAGAAGCCCCATCATTTGCCCCAGCTCAGCAGTAAACTCTTTCCTCCCCCAAATGAAAATACATCCTGACTTTCACATCATCACTTCTTTGTTCTATTTTATATTTTTATCATCCAAAATTATAATTTAGTTTTACCTCTTGAAATACTCTTTTGTTCTCTTTTATTCTATAGATTCTTTCTTGAAATTTATATTCTGTGGTAGAGCTTCCCATAGTGTGCATTTGCTCCCCAAGCCATTGTTTAAAATGTGTTTTTATTAACTGTATTGCCTCTAAATTGGTTCAGGCTTGGTTTCTTTGTCACTTGTACTTGTTTGATGGTGCTGTATTGTGTTCTTCCATCAAGAGGAAGAACCTGACAGTAGTTTTTTGTTTTATTGTGTTGTTAATTGCCATTGCTGTTCAATGGTTAAATTCATTAACTCATGATGGTTTGCAAAAGAGTTATTATAGTTTCGGTCTCTCATTCCTTCCTTATTTATTATCCGAATAATTTCTAAGTAAGAGATTCACGCTCCTCTACTGTTTGTTTACTACTAGACATTTGTTAACCAGCGACTAAGCCAAGCATCTACTTACCTATGACCCAGCAATAGCACTCTTAGTTATCAACCAGTAGAAATGCTTGTACGTGTGTGCCAAAATATATGAAAATATTATTCACAGCAGCACGACTTGTAAAATCTGGATACAACACAATTGTCTATCAATAGTGAAAGGACAGGAAATATGAGCTATTTATAAAGTGGGAAACATATCAAGACCACATCTCAAAAGCAACAACAACAAAAAATCCACGTTTGCTTGTGGTGATTGCCTGAGTCCATGAAATAAGTAGACACTGGGGCCTTAGCAATGCAGAGATAGGTGGAATCAAGACATATTCCTCTTGCATTCCACACATCACAGGCACAAAATACACATAAGAAGTGCTTTAACAAAAAAAAAAAAAAAAAGGAGAGAGATAGCATATGGCTATGTGGCAGAATCTTTTGTGGGAAGGCCTTGAAACTACATAGCTGGCAAGTTAGACTGATACCATTAGCTCCAGGAAGCAGCAAATGGGTCTTGACAGGAATAGATCCTCACCCTGGAGTGGGCTTTGTTCAGCCGGTGGTAGGTGTGTCACCAAACTAAACTGTGGTCTACTCACCTGGGATGTTGCAGTAAAAGCAAACATCCACACTGAGATTGTAGTGGGAGAAAGGAGGGCATTTATGTGCAGGGCGCCAAACAAGGAGAATAGGGCAACTCACGCTTAAGTCCCAACCTTTTTGATGGCTCACAAACAAGGATTTTCAAAGGCAGGGGCAAATTTCAGGAAAGCAGAGTTACAGGCAACATCATAAATCAATGCATAGAAGTGATACACTGCTTCGGCCTTAAAAGGTGGAAAGTCCTCATGAGGGAGCTTACAGGTCTTAGGTGGATTTAAAGATTCTCTGATTTGTGATAGATAAGGAAGTAAAGCTTCCATACACAGCCAGGGGAGTAGAGAGGAATATTCAGGTCTGGCCTGTGTCCTTGACTCTCTCTAGTCCCCTCAGGAAGAAATTTAGAACAAAGAACAGCGGTCAGAGTTCAGTCCTCAGTTTCCCCTTTATAAGGTCTCCCTGTCAGTGGATCTATTAGGTGGGATCCCGTGTTTCTGAAAAACAACTCAGGGACATATGTTAAGATGTTTTTAGTTTCTGTAGAGAATCAAACATCCTGTGACTCTAACTTCCTTGGCTATTGTTTTAAGCTATCATTACCTTCTTGTTTATAACGTCACTCACTTGCTTTTTAGGGCTGGCTAGGTGCCTGGAATTTCTCTTGAAGGAACTGAAGGTTTTTCTTTATTTCCAGGTTGGGAGGCCCTGGCAGGCTTCTGAGAGAGGTTCCTCCTTTATCTCAGATGCAAATGCTTGGAGTGCTACAAAGAACTTGAATGGGAGGTACTGCAACCATGTGAACCACTGAGTCACATTTCTTTACACCGGAAAATGCACCAGCTCAAAATGTCCAACAATGATCAGAGAGATATCCTTCTCAAAGGAAGAGTTCCATAGAGAATTAAAATAGCCAATTGAAACATTGGGTGTATAAAGCAAGAGTGGGGAAACAAGTACGAAGGGTGGGCTTATACACCTTCATGAGTGTGCTCACACTTGACATGAGAGTATCCTCTCTTTTCCTGGTGGATCAGGGAAAGTGCTGGTGTGATCTACATATATTGCTTCCCATGGTGGGAGGACACTGGAATGATGACTGTAATTCACCTCAACTTGCTTCTCTCATACCTGATGCAGTGGTCCCAGGACTAAGGATGCAAATAGAGTCCAGAAACAGGAATTATTCCTAAGCAAGAAACTGTAAATATATTTTATGTACTTTATGCAATAATTCCTAAGGAGCTGTAGAAGTAAGTTGTGCCTTCACTGCATCTGGCAAAGTTGGGGCTAACACTGAATGCAGCTGTATTGCCCGGGGTCAGATACCACCCAGTTCTCTACCTGCATAACCCTCCCCTCTATGAACCGGAATGGATGATGCGAGACACTTGCTAGAACAGTATTGGTCCTTACAGTCCAAGCCAGCACAGCAGCAGAGCCTAGTGTTCCTTCCGAAATTATAAATGTTTAGTATAAATGAAGAGAAGGAGAAATAGTGGCTGAGGGTGAATGAATGAATAAATGGGTTATGTAATGAGGAAAATCCAATGTTACATGAACTACTCGAAAGAGGTATAAGTAAGAGAGAGTATTGTCTCTTAGCTCCATGTCTCCAGATGCCTGAAAGGGTGCAGCCGTGTGTTGCTGAGACTATTCCTATTTTTGGACTGCACTGGGATAATTGTTAATGACCAAAGAGGATTCTGGTAATGTGCCAGGATCTTTTCACTGTTATGATTCTTCTGGCATAGGAGATCTGTGATTGGCCAGACACAGTGGCTCACGCTTGTAATTCCATCAGTTGGGAAGCAATGGTAGGAACATCGTTTAAGGTCAGGATTTGAGACCAGCCTCTGCAAAATAGTGAGACCCATTCCTATAAAATATTTAAAAATTAGTTGGGCATGTTGGTGTGCACCTGTAATGCTATCTACTCAGGAGGCTGAGGCAGAAGGATCACTTGAGTCCAGGAATTCGAGGTTACAGTGAGCTGTGATTGTGCCTCTGCATTCTACCCTGGACAACAGAGCAAGAGATTATCTCTAAAATAAAATAATAAATATTATAAGAAGAGATAATGTGGTCAAAACCAAGGTGTGATCTGTGGTCCAATAAACATATTTGGTCTTTGTCCCTGTTTCCTGACAACCATGTTCTAAAACATTTGCAATCTCCTCAGTGATAAACGTGACTTCAGTATGGCAATGAGATGACTATGGGGTGAGGGGATCCCAGATAGCTTCAGCATGGGGGCTGGTTGCCAGAAACACGAAGCCGTGATTAGAGGATTGGAACTTTTAGCCCCATCCCTAAAGTCTAGGAAGGAAAGAGAGGCTCAAGGTTGAGTTCAGTCACACAATGGCCGGTCATTTAATTAATCTTGCCTACACAATGAAATTTACATAGAAATCTCTAGAGATTGGGTTTCCGAGAGCTTCCCAATTGGTGAGCACATCCGTGTGTCCACATGCTGGGAAGGTGGTGAAATCCATCTCCACGGGGACAGAGGCTCCTGTGCTCAGAGCCCTTCCAGACCTCACCCTGTGCACCTCTTCATCTGGCTGCCCATTTACATCCTTAACTGCTATGGTTTGAATGTTTCCCCAAAAAAGCATCTGTTGGATATTTCATCCCGAATGCAACATTTTTAAGAAATGGGACCTTTGAGAGGTGATTGGACCATCAGAGCTCTGCCTTCATTAATGGATTAAGGCTCATCATAAAAGGACCTGAGGCTGTCACTTTGACCTCCTTTTACCCCTACCTCTCACCCTCTCTTGCCCTTTTGTTTTCTACCAGATACAGTCCCTTGATCTGGAAATTCCCATCCTCCACACCATGAATGAAACAAATTTCTGTTTGTTATAAGTTATCCAGTCTCAGGTGTTCTGCTATAGTGGCTTAATTTAAACCAGGGGTCCCTAACCCCTGGACTGCGGACTGGTAGAAGTTCCTGGCCTGGTAGGAACCAGATCACACAGCAGGAGGTGATCGGTGGGCGAGAGAGCATGAGCATGACCACCAGAGTTCCGCCTCCTGTCAGATCAGTGGCTGAATTAGATTCTCATAGAAGCACGAACCCTATTGTGAGCTCTGCATGCGAGAGATCTAGGTTGCATGCTCCTTATGAAACACTAATGCCTGGTCATCTGAGGTGCAACAGTTTCATCCAAAACCATTTCCCTCTGCCTTCCGCCACCTCCACTGGTCCATGGAAAAACTGTCTTCTATGAAACTGGTCCCGGGTGCCGAAATGGTGGGGATTTAAGGTACAACAATAAAAAAAACTGCAATACTGCGTGTGAACGGAAAACAAAATTTCAGGACTCCAAATTCACTATACCAAAGGGAAACATTAAGTTTGGAGACTGAGTGATGGAAAAATTGCCTTTCTTTTGTTCCTAAACAAATAACTGCAAAGATAGAAGACCCCATATCTCC